TTTTTGTTTTTATAAATCTCGATGGTTAATTGTACGTGCTACGATGTGATCTCGTTTCTCTAAGAATTATTTTTAGAGAGTCGACTTGTTCATCTTAGAACTATCTTAAGAAAACCAACAAATACCAGTTTGCTTAACTCTTCGTAAACAAATATTTATTTCACGCTCCATAATTATATAATTTTTTTATTATTCTAAACGTCGGCAAAATCTAAAAATTCTTACGAAATACTTACGAATATCTGTGATACATCATATCAAGACAAATATTTTAAATATCTTTTAATAGAAAAATTGGAAAACGAAGAAACGGAGGATGAAATTTCGCTTGTTTTTTTCATAATTCAGTTTGCTTATGAAGAGTTAACACTTTGCTGTCCAAGCATTCGACACTTTATCTTAATTAATTTATTTAACAAGTGAGATTCAGTAAACAAAGATGATTCAGTAAATATGTGATTCACTGATAGTTTTGTACTTATGTATGATAACCCTTTACCAAGAACGTCTCGATTGTATCGCGAGACAGTATTCGACGGGAATTAGGACAATACGAAAGACAGACATAAGCGCAAGACGGACAGGCTAAGAGCTTTTATATCAGCAGTGGAAAATTTGTGGAAAACTTCTCGATACAGACAAGTTTTCTGACGAGTTATAACTTTTATGGAAATTTTAGTTTGTCTTAAATTACGGTAATGCTTCGATAAATGGCTACGAGTGGGATCAATTATCAAGACATATCTAACTCCAGAAAGTCTTGAATACATTTTTTCCTTTTTCCTTATTCTATAAAACAAAAATTCACGAGAGTATTATAGGTATTAAAGAAGTTTCAAAACGTTTCGTATAACTTGTGTATTTAGACACTTTCGTAAATCATTATACAAGATGTTCAATAATAGATGGACCAATATTTATTTGGTATGTTGAATATGAAATATAAGATAATAATATTTGTTTGGTATAAATGAATATGAAATATAAGATAATTTAAATGAATATAATGATATCAATGATAAAGATCAGTAATTAATTAACAAAACCTTAAACGTAATTTTGTTAGTCTTTGTTTTCTTTTTGTTTCTAGAAATTACTCATTTATTATTGAACACTTTGTATAATAACATAGAAATAAATTGGAAAAGTTCCAAAAACTATTAGAAGATGTATATAGTAATCAGAAGCCAAATTAATCAACTCCATTTGCCGTAAAATTCTCTTTTTTGCCTCTCAATTCTCAAGAGGGGAGAAAATAAAAAAAATAAATAACTCATTTTTATAAATTTCATAATTTTCTGAACAGAACTAAATAAGTAACACCTACATAGGAATCTGTTTTACCTTCTAGAAATTATACCGAATACTCCATTTTGAACATTTTTGTACATTATACGCAACTTGTGGATTTTCTGTAAATTCATTATAAACGCATCAAAGTTTACAATCCAATTGTCACGGTTTTCCGTTTCTCCAATTTACGGAGCTAATCAATCCAGCTTTTGAACCCAATTAACGAAGCAAAAATCGGGGCCAATTAACGTGGTGCTACGGCACACCGTCATCGCTTATCGTTACGTCTAAGATCACGAGAATCTGTCTCGTTATATCCTCTGTACAATATTATATTTTCCCTTCTATTTCAGTTGCTCGTTCTATATTTCCCTTTCGAACAGGGGACACGTTTTCAGCGTCAGTAGACTCGCTTAGACACCCGAGCTCTCGTCGATCCATGGAATGTCAATTTGATGTTTCGGTGATCCGTGGGAAGAGTGTCCTTGAGAGACAAGGAACTCCGGAGCGTCTGCTTGGTCGCTGGTCAATATCACTGGCGCGGATTTCGGCTCGCTAGGAATTTTCCGTAGACCTCCATCTACGATATATACCAGCACCAACAGGGTCAGAGAGGCATTGAACAAAACTCGTTCACAGAGTTGTTGACACACATAAAGGCTTGTCATTTGTAACATGCAAAGGTTTGGTAGCGTTTTGAAGCTTAAAGCACGAGGCTATAAGAGGAGATAATCGAGGTAAGCACGAGGCAGGCAGCTGATTTGATATCGATTAGTTTGATTCGCGTGTACATCCCAATTAACGCACGCGCTTGGCCTTGTTGTATCATTAGCAGTTGTTTTGCAACGTATTATTGCACTAACGCATCGTGGAAATTTTTAATTACACCGGACATTCCGCTCTAGAAAAAATTGAATGGTCTATGTGACACGAACTTAGTGTCGTTGACGTTCGTTGTAATGAAACACGGGTGAGCTGTATGATTTTACATTGAGTTCGCAATATTTAATTTTAATGTAATACATGAGGTATGGAGCTGGGGAGAAGTCTCATGGGATGACGGAGAGACTCGAGGACGACGAGGAATCTCTGTCGTTCATCCTCACGCATTACTCTTTTGTAAGTTATTTCGTTTCGTCTCGCAAAATGAAAATATCTCGCGAGGGATTGAAGTTATAAAAAAGAAAAAGTGTTCCTGTAAAAGTTATTTGGTATAAAAGAGCACATTATGTGGTATTAATAATATTTTTCTGGATGGAGTGACGGAGCAGATTTCAAGGTCAAATTGATGTTTTTAAATGGATTCATATAATTTTGAATGCAGTAATCAAATTATTTAAGAATCGATTTATAAAAAAAAA